GGCAATATTCAAGAAGACAGTTGCCATGCATGAAGTGTTCCTTTATCATGCTTCAGCACATCCTATTTTGAGAAAAGATTTAAATTTCCATGTCTTCATGGAATATAATCAGGATGTGTGCACCCAATTAATGACAGCAGTGATGTAGAGTATTTGTTTCTTGATTGGTTTTCAGGGGGTTTGTGAATTTTTAAATTATTTATTTATTTATTTTATGGGTATGAGTGTTTTGCCTGCATGTATGTGATGTGTACCCATGTGCAATACCTATGGCGGTCAGAAGAGGGCAGTGGATCGCCAGGAACTGGCATGAAAGTTGTTAGCCAGCATGTAGATGCTGGGAACAGACCCAGGTCCTATACAAGAATAGCCAGTGCTCCTAACTGCTAATCTATCTCTCCCGCCCTCAATTGGTTGGATTGTTAAGTCTTTGGAGGGACTGTGGAGGTAAGCCAAGTGGTAAAGAACTTACCTAGCATGAGCAAGGTTCTGGGTTTGATACCTAGCACCAAAAATAAATAATTAATTGGTGGAGAAGGCAAGAAAGGCAATGAACTTTTTTTTTAAGCATTGGTATCTTTTCTTTTTGTTTGTTTTCTGAGACTGGATCTTATTTTGCGGCCCTGGCTGGCGTGGAGCTCACAGAGATTCACTTGCTGGTGGCTCTGACCTGTTTATAAGAGCACTCATTCTATTCATGAAGGCTCTTCTCTGATCACCTCATCAGCTCCCAACAGTCTACCTTCAAATACATCACCTCGGGTGTTCAGTTTCAATATGGGATTTGGAAGGAACACCTAGCATTCATATCATAGCAGTCAGTGTAGATTTGTGACTTGATTATCTAAAATTAAGTGTTCTGGAATAGTCCAGTCTTGATGTATGAGGGCTGTCTACAATGTATCATGAGACTGAAAGAGAAGCAGACAGATCTTGGATTGCACAGAATGTAGTTTCTTGTCAGACTTAATAAAAAGAAGAATGGTCCTGGGTGGCATGAAGCCTGGCAAGAGCTCCACTGTTTGCATCACAATGAGGAGCCTATATATTAGGACACAAAGTATTTCATACTAGTTATTGTAGAATAAACTTGCTTTATCTTTAAGCTGGTATCAAAGAGTCATGCACATTCCTAGAGTCATGATCCAGATGTAAAATTCTGTGTATATCACACTTAAATTTTTTTGTTTCTATTTTATATGTATGAATATATTACCTGCATGTGTGTATCTGTGCTGTGCAGTGCCCAAGAAGGTCAGAAGGGGGCATTGGATCCCCTGGAACTGGAGTACCTGCCATGTGGTTGCTGGGAATCAAACCTGTATCCTCTCCAATAGTGGTCAGTGCTCTTAACTGCTGAGCCATCTCTCCAGCTCTGTGTGTACAATATTTATCTATTTGTAGTTTATGGAAAAACTATCCAGGAGCTGGGCATGATGGCGGATGCCTTTACTCCCAGCACTCCAGAAGTAGATGCAGGTGGACCTCTGAGTTCAAGGCTAGCCTGGTCTATATAGCAAGTTCCAAACCAGCTGGGGGGCTACAGGGAGACCCTGTCTCAAAAATGCCAACCCCCTCCCAAAAAAATCATGAAAAATTGACTAGGGTGGGCTTGGACAGATGGTTTAGCAGTTAAGAACACTTGTTCTTGCAGAAGACCCAATTTTGAATCCCAGCACCCACATGCCAGCTAACAACTGTCCATAACTCCAGTTTCAGGGGATCCAATGGCCTCTTCTGTCCTCTTTGGGCATTGCATGACATGGGTGCACTTACCTACATGCAGGAAATACACTCGTACACATAATAAAAATAATAAAATATTTTTAAAAAATTTGCCACCATTGGATTTCAAACTTAAGTTTGATAGTAGCTCCTGGGCAAAGCAGTTGCAAAACACAGTCTTATATTTGATCTCCAACGGTCCCAACCTACATGACAGATAATAAGCCACATATGGGGGTGGAGAATAGATAGAATTAGATGGATGGATGCATGGATGGAGGGATGGACTCGATTCTCACCCAGGCCCCGTCTTGACTTCCCTGGCCTGGGACTCACTGCAGCCACCCTTGGCCCCCACCACAGGTGAGTCAGGGCCCTCTCCGGTGAGTCAGGACCCTCTCTGTAACCGAATGATGTCCCCCAGCCCTGGCCACCTGACCCCGGCCTTTCTGCAAAACACCACCACCACCAGGGTGTCCCGGTGGTACCCCTCAAAAAAACCAGGGTGAAACTGAGACTCGCACCCTGGCACCAAAGACTCTTGATGATGACGTCAACAACGAGGTGGACCCAACAAACCACTGGGTGAGTGGGGCACACCCTGTTCCAGTCCCCTAGCACCTCCCCATCCATATGCTCCTGAACATCCCCTCTCCCACCGCAGCCCCTGTGTCCCCACAACCCCCCCTACACAACCCCGAACACCCCAAGCACCACCCCTAACCTCCCCACACCCTGTTTACACCGGGGCCCAGGCCACTTCCTTCTATCCAAGCAGCCAGGATCACACACCATGGCCCTTCTTGGCGTCTGGGCCCAACACAGAAGGACAGACATCTGGGCTGCTGCACACAGATTCGATCCCTGCCCAGGCACCATCTTGACTTCCCTGACCACGGACTCCCTGCAGGCACCCTCGGCCCCCACCACGGGTGAGTCAGGGCCCTCTCCACAACCAGACAACATTCCCCAGCCCCAGCCACCTGACCCCAGCCATTCTGAAAAACCAGGCCACAACCTGTGTGGCCCCTGTGGCACCCGAAACTCACCTGGGTGATAGCGACACAAGCTTGTGAGGCTGGCACCCAACACTCCTGACGACGACATGCACCCAACAAACCACTATGAGACTTCTCATTCACATGTACTATGCATGGAGACAATGGACGCTGAAGGATCCTGCCCTGAGGCTTGACCTCGACTTAAATTCCATGTACCCGCCAACCATCCCGTGGTGCTCCAAGCCCTCACCCACCAAGATGGCGAGATTTCTCGACCTCCTCTGGAGGAACCGGTAGCCCCACGAGGCAGCAAACAGCATTCTATGCCACCACCCACCCACATGCACACCGGAGGCTGTGCTAGGTGCTGGGATCCAGTGGTCCAGGACTACAGGGTGGAGACCACTGGGCTCAAATTAGATGGAACAGGGCCCGGGAAAAATATCCGACAAAGAAGCCAGGGCCCTGGGAAGAGGAGCAGAACGCCCGGGTGTGTCCCCGACCCGAGAGTGCGGACAAGGGACAAGGGCCCCAGCTGAGCACCCGTGATCATGTAGGGCCCAGGCTGAAGACCCTGGAGGAAGAAGACCACCTGGGCCCTCCAAAGAGGAGCAAACAAAAGCCTGGGCTGTTCCCTGATGCAAAGGCAGCCAGGGCGGGACAGAGACAGGACAAACAAACACAAAGACAAAGATGCCTGGGCTGAACAACGCAACGGGCCCAGGCAAAAATCCCCCAAGACAGGAGCCCAGGCCCACTGAGGAAGACACCCGGGAGCCCTGGGCAAAGATTTCCCCCCAAGAAGCCCTGGCAGAGCAAGGCCGAGGAGCACAGGCTGAGCACTGATGGAACAAGGCCCAGGCCAAAACTTACAAGACAGCTGCCTAGGCCCCACGAAGCTGAGAAAAGGGCCCAGGCCCATCCCTGACCACAAGCCAGTCCCATCAACAGGCAGGGCCCAAGCTCCCCACAGAGAACCAAGGGCTGAAAAGTCCAAAGGGAGAAGCTTGTGCCCTACAAAAAGAGGGGCAAACAGTCCGGGTTCATCCCCAACCTGACAGAAGCCTGTGAAAAGAAGGGAGAGAGACGAAGACACCCAGGCAAAAAATGCAAAGGGCCCGGGGCCAAAACCCCCCAGAAGAGAAGCCTGGGCCCACCCAAGATCACACAGCAGCCCCAGTCGACCATTTCCCCAAACAGTCCCTGCCAAGGCCATGGAGCATTTCAATACTCTCCCACTTTAACTCTTTAGGGAATATGCCCCCAAACATATTAAGAACATTCTGATTTCATTACATAAAGTTGAATGATTTTGTTAAGTGAAGACTTCACTAGTATAACAAAACTCTCCCTGCACCTCTAATTATAAAGTGCTTACATACAATCTGTTACAGAAAACTCATTTCATTTCAATGATTTCATGACAGTCTAAGTCATATACCAGAAGAGCATTTGCCAGGTGTGGTGCAACAGGCCTTTAATACCAGGACTTAGGAGCCAGAGGCAGGCAGATCTCTGTGAGTTCAAGGCCAGCCTGGTCTACATGGGAGTTTCAGGCTAGCTGGAGCTATAGGGAGATCATCTCAAAAAGATCAATAAATAAGTAAATAAATAAATAATACAAATTGTGAAATCAGTTTGAGTGCCAGGCATGGTAATATACACCTGCACTCTCAGAACTGGGGAAGCAGAGGCAGGAGAATCATCCTGGGCTACATACTGATTTTGAGGCCTGCCTATGTTACATGTGATCATGTGACCATGTGACAAAAAGAGGATGGTGGTGCTTGCCTTTAATCTCAGCATCAGGAGGCAGCAGAAGGATCTCTGTGACATTGAGGCCAGCCTGGTCTACATAACAAGTTCCAGACTAGCTGGGACAACAGGGAGACCCAACAAAACAAGTTTACCCAATGGGAAAAACGGGGGTGGGGAGAGCAACAATGGGGATTTAGCTCAGTGGTAGAGTGCTAGCTTGCTTAGCAAGCCCACAGCTTTGTGCTTGGTCCCCAGTTCTGGGGGAAGGGGTGGGAGCTGTGGGTGGGGGAAAGAAGCAAGGTGTTTTAAAAAAAGTTTACTTTCAATGTCCAATGAAATAATAGCAAATTTGTGCTGTATTCCTCAGTGTAAAAACGGTATAAACCCAAATTCACATGTTTGTCATAAATGGGTTGACAAAAGTATTCCAAAATGCCCATCGAGATGACCAGTGTTGTTTCCTTACTGCCAACAAAGCCATTTCTCTGCTTTTCTGCTACTAATGTCTGTAATTACAATCCTAACTTGCATATATCTGTAGAGTCCTGAGTTCCTAAAGCATACAGTGACGATCCAATTCTATTGCAATCATCCCCACCACCTACAGAGAATATCTGAGGAATTTAAGAACAAGTTTTAAGAATATATTCATTTTCTGATTTAAAAATATTTATAGAGCACCTATGTGCAAATGTAATACAAAATATCCACTAAAGGAAATGACCTAAATAGCCATAATGCAACATGATGGCAAAGGGAGAGAATACTGACTAAGGGAGAAGGTCAAAGGCATCAAAGAAAGGCACACATTCAGAGAGCACTGTGGGACTGCTAGAAACAAAGGGCTTGGAAATGGACAAACTAGAAGCATTTTAGGTGAAAAGGTCTTGTAAACTATGACAGAGTTTGGATTTGTGGGAATAGATGTTAAACATTTATTTATTTTACATTTTATTTATTATTTTTACTTCATCTTATGTATAAGTGCATTGTCTGCATGCATGTAAATGGATTTGTGTCATGCAATGTCTGTGGAAGTCAGAAGAGAACATCGGAGTCCCCTGAACTGGAGTTACCAACGGTTGTCAGCTGTCATGTGGGTGCTGGGAATTGAAACTTCTGCAAGAGTAGCAAGTTCTCTTAACCACTGAGCCATTTTTCCAGCCCTAACATTTATTTATTTACTCATCTATTTTTATTTTACATATGTGAGCGCACAGGTGCATGCAATGCCAGCAGAGGCCAGAAGAGGGAGTCAGATTCTAGATCCTTTGGAAATGGAGTTGTTAGTGGATGGTTGTTAGCCATCACGTGGGTGCTGGACACCAAACGTGGGTCCACTGCGAGAGCAGCAAGTGCTCTTAACCACTGAGCCATCTCCCCAGGCCCCTGGCAAGTTCTATAAATAAATTCTGAATAAACTAGGTGTGGTAGTATACCAGTAATTCTAGAATATGGAAGGTGGCCGAAAGCTCAAGCTGACCTTGAACTCATAACCCTCTGTCTCCTTAGTGTTGGGACTGTAGGCATGCAGCCATTCCCTGCCTTATTTTACTTTGTGATTACCATTTAGTAATATAGGCTCACCATTATCTTCTTTTTTTAAAAGGCAGGGTCTTACTGTATAGCCCTGCTTGGTCTGGAACTCACTCTTTCGGCCAAGCTGGCCTCCAACTCAGACAGATGCTGGGATTAAAGATGTGTACTACCACAACTGGCAGCACCATCATTTCTCTTTAAGCACCATCCATCCATTTGGCCAAATGAACAGGAATCACTTTCTTCAGTTCATTCCCTTCCTGTCCCTCCTTTAAAAAATTATCTGCTGGGCATGCTAGTACATGCCTTTAATCCTAGCACTCAGGAGGAGGCAGGTGGATCTCTGTTGGAGGCCAGCCTGGTTTACATACTGACTTCTAGGCCAGCTGGGGCTACAGAGAGGCCTTGTTTCAAAACAAAAAAAAAAGGTTTTTAAAAATATTTTATTATTTTTATTTTACGTGTACAAGTGTATTGCCTGCATGTATGTAAGTGCACATGTGTCGATGCCACGAAGGTCAGAAGAGGGCTTCGGATTCCCCTGGAAATGGGGTTAAGAGTGGTTTTTAGCTGCCATGTGGGTGCTGGGAATCAAACCTGGGTCCTCTGCAAGAGCAGTCAGTGCTTTTAACCACTGAGCCATCTCTCCAGCCCCCAAAACAAACAAAAAAATTAATTTATTTAAACCTTATTGCTATTGTGAGTGTGTGTACATAGTGTGTGTGTGTGTGTGTGTGTGTGTGTGTATGGACACGCACATACCACAGCATAAGTGTGGCGGTCAGAGGACAATTCTGGAATTGGTTCTCTCCTTCTATCTTTATGTGAGTTCTAGGATTTGAACTGAGATCAATAGCCTTACATAGTAACCGCCTTTACCCACTGGGTCATTTTTTTAATGTCTTCTTATTGTTTATAGCCCAGGCTGGCCCCCAAACAATGGGATTACAAGTATATACTAACAAAACCAGCACACAGTCTACTTTCTTTCTTTTCTTTTCTTTTTTTTGGTCTTTTGGAGACAGGGTCTCCCTGTAGCCCCAACTGGCCTGGCACTCAGTAGATAGACTAGGCTGGTCTTGAACTCACTGAGATCCTCCTGCCTCTGCCTCCTGAGTGCTGGAAAAAAGACATGCACCACTGTGCTCAGCACTCAAACTCACTTTTAAAAGGGTCTTTAGGCTGCTGAGGCAGAAGGATCACAAGTTCAAGGGAAAACTCACTCACCTGGGGGAGAGGGGTAGGATTAGAGCTCAGTTGGTAGAGTGCTTGTTTAGTATGCACAGAGCCATGGGTTGTCACCACATAAACACTAGGTATGGAAGCTCGAGAGAGAGCTCAGCAGTTATGAATACCTGCTACTCTTACACAAGATCTGGGTTTGATTCTCACATGACAGCTCACAATTGTCTGTAACTCCAGTTCTTTGATCCAATGCCCTCTTCTGATCCCCACAGGCACTGCATCTTGTACACCTACATACATGCAGGCAAAACATATAGATAAAATAAGTCTTTAAAAAAAAATAGGGCTGGGTTTGGTGCATGACTTTAATCTCAGCACTTGGGAGTCAGAGGCAGGCAGATCTATGTAAGTCTGAGACCAGCCAAGGCTAAACAGTGAGACTGGCTCAAACGAAAACAAAAAACAAACAAAAATACTGAGTATAATGCTATATATCTATAACACCTCTTCTGTTCCTGCCCTTCCTCTCACCATGAAGGACTGTAATTCCCCTGGAACTGTAAGCTAAATAAATTCTTCTTTTTATAAGTTCCCTTGATCATGGTGTTTCTATCACAGCAACGGAAAACTAATACACTCATTCAAATAAAATTTTTAAATGTATGTATGTTTGTTTGTTTTGGTCTTTTTGAGCCAGGGTCTCCCTGTAGCCCCAGCTGTCCTGGAACTCACTATTTAGACCAGGCTGACCTAGAACTCACAGAGATCTGCCTGCCTCTGCCTCCCGAGTGCTGGGATTAAAGATGTGGGTTACCACAACCTGTTAAAATTTTTAAATGTTGTTCTATGTTCAGACTTTAATAAACTGTAAGGAACATGTCAACTTTACAATTAGTCCATTAAAAAAGTAAGTTTTAGCCACAGAAGATTCTTACCTTTGTGAGATCTTATCATCCTGTCAGATTTAGCAGATGCATCCTTAACTTGGGTATGATAATCTGAAAGGAATGTCCGTTCATGTTCAAAGAAATTATCTACATCCTGCAAGATGAGAAGAACACATGAGCTCTTTTCACTTGTTTGCTTTAACCCAATGTATAAATCACTTTGTCATCATTATAAACAGAAAAACATCATCAGGAAAACAGCACAGCAATCCTCTAAAAATCAGGTCTTTCTTATGCTGACCTCATCAACATGCTGAGACTTTTAAAAGACTCACTTCTATGTACCAAGAAAGAAACCTATAGTTTTACAGCTGAAGACTCAGAGAGCCTATTGTAGTTCGTCCTGAAACATGGACCTGCCTGGCCTCTGCTGATACAAACACATTATTGCTCCCTAGTAATCAACTGCTTTTGAAAAACAGTGGGAAGGTGGTCGTGGTAGCACATGCCTTTAATCCCAGCCAGTGCTGTGGAGGCAGAGGCAGGCAGATATCTGAGTTCAAGGCCAGCCTGGTCTACATAGTGAGTTTCAGGCCAGCCGAGGCTGTAGGGAAACCCTGTCTCAAAAAGACCAAAAAGAAATAAAAATTCTGGTATCTAGAAGTGAAAACCCACTTTTCTTGGTCTAATAATATGCATTTTGTGGGTCATTAGAGGTGGCCTGGTCTATCTAACTGCTTATTGTGTACTTAGCGAAATAAGCTATTTGGGAGCAATGATATACAGTCTTTGCTCTTTTCCTTATAATAAGGCTAGATACACATTTAAAATAAAAATTACTAACAGTGCTTTCTTAGCAACCATTCATTCGAAGTGTCATTGACATGATGTAATTTGAGACTGACAGCAAGAGTCCACATTAACAAAGTGATTTAACCATCGCTTCATATGTACCAGTTTTCTTTGTGTAAAAATGGGAATAAATAAATCTAACTTGCAGAGTTATAATGAAGACTGAATAAACGTGCTAGAAATCAATACATCTTACATGTTCAGAAATGTTCTTAGATTACCAAAGTCCTGATAGTGGTTCACACTTACTATCTCTGCATAGCAGCATCTAAGTCCTCAGGAGTGCAGCCACACTCTCAATCCCAGCATTAAGGAGGCAAGGCAGACACATCTCTGAGATCAAGATCAGACTGGTCTACATAGCAAGTTCCAAGTTAGCTGGGGCTACAGGAAGACTCTGTGTTTTTAAACTGTATTCTTGGCAGGTATGACGGTTAGGGTTAGGGTCTTAAATCCCAGCACTCAGAAGCCAGAGGTAGGTGAATCTCTGAGTTCCAGGCCACTCAGTACTATACAGTGAGACCCTGGTTCAAAAATACCCAAAGTATATCCTCATTTTCAACCAATAATGCTGTACATAAGTATAAATCTTACCTTTACCCTTGAAACAATTACTCCATCTGCTGATTTAACCATGTTTTTAAAAAAATCTTCAAGTTTTTCTGCCATATATTTAACATTTATGGAAACACAGGTGGTCCCCCTTAAATTATAACAATACCTTAACAAATGCCTTTAGTATGCTCATGCAAAGGCTTTTTAACATAAATCCTTGAAGAAGAATTTCTCTAACAAAGGAATCTGAATTTTAATATCCATAAACTGCCTCTCAAAATGCACCTACAACCAAGTATACAAAATAACCTGTTTGCCTATATCCTACCAACCACCCTTTTCACTAATAATACAATCTAAAATAAATTTTCATTTCTTTGTCATTGGTAGAGGTTGAGCATATTTTCAAATATATGTCTGTGGCTTAATCTGTAAAGGTATTCAGACTCTCTAAGATTATAGTTTGTCTCCTGATTTTACTTATATTCTCATACAGAATTTCTACATTTTTAGACAGCCCAGTTTGTTAATTTGGTTCAAGCTTTTTAGGCTTTATACCCAATTTAGGCTTTTCCTAGTCTAAGAATATAAAAATATTCACTTATTTTTCCCCTAATAAACTGGTTTTCATTTTTCATGTATGTCTCTGATCACATATGGAATTATTACAAAGATGATGATCCATCATTTTTGCTTGTCTAATTCTGCTGCTGGCTTTATATAGATTCAGTTATTAGTCTTTTATTTGTGAGATAGCTTATTAGAAGGAAATAAGAAATATGGTAAGAACCAGAGTACATGGTCCATAATATATCTTGCCCTACCTCAAAAACATTTATATTATACTAATCCCCATAGTCTCAGTATATGAAATAGACTCTCATTATTTTTAAAACAAAACCTATAAATTTCATTGCTTTTGAGCTTAAAACAGACTCTGGTTCAATTCTGAGTACCTTCTTTCCAGTAAGTCCTTTTTGTCTTCTGCCTTCACACGTTAAAATATATATAACACTTATTCTCTTGACCTGTTTGTCTCAGATCTTTTATTCTAAATACATTTTAAGTTTCATATTTCCAGCCGGGTGTGGTAGCGCACGCCTTTAATCCCAGCACTTGAAGGCAGAGGCAGGTGGATCTCTGTGAGTTCAAGGCCAGCCTGGTCTACATAGTGAGTTACAGGACAGCTGGGGCTACAGAGAGACCGTGTCTCAAAAAGACCAAAAAAAAAAAAAAAAAGTTTCATATTTCCAACTTCCTAACAGGACTGTATAGGAATAAACAGTTTTTGGTTAGTACAAAGACAGACCTTCCCTAGCAATTCCCTACCTTCAGAACTCTGGCTACTATATATTTCGTATTTAAATCACACTTTCAAACTCTCTTTTCCATGTCTACTCCCCTAAGAAGAGTCAAAGAAAAACCAGTCCCTACCATAAAACTCCAAGAAGGAAAACAGTGATTTTATTTTGTAATTATCTTACCTTGATCAAACTGCTTTTGAATATTGTCTGATCAGTTTTATTTCCACTAACAAGGCCGGAACCCAGGCAGGCCCCGGCCAGCACTGGCAGGGCAGGACTCATCCTTGCAGCCGCCTGCAGCCTTGGACAGCCATAGTTCAGAGGACTCCGGGGCGGCGGTGCAGGCAGCGCTGCCCCCGTAGACTACACTCTCGCGCTGGTCAGAGACCACGCAGAGAGTGCTCAGGGCTACTGCACTAGCCTACCAGTCGCACCCCGAGCCACGCGAGCCACGCGCATGTGCCGCAGCTTCCGGAAGAGCGAGCTGACCCCCACACATCCCATAGCGCAGTCTCCCACGGCCGTCAGGGCGCACCCTGCCACCAGACGTGCACATGCTCGTTCTCGCGTCTCTCAGGCTGGTGCCTCACGCGCGCTAGCGCCCAGGAGCCGGAGCCTGGCTCTCCAGCATCAGCCTCGCGCACTCCCAACTTGGGTGCGAATCAGGACGGCGCGGGGTCGCTGAGGCATGGGGGTCGAACGCACACGGCTAGGCCCACCTCCTCTGGAGCTGCAGCCGCCTCAACTACCACAGTGTCCTGGGGGCGGCACTGCGGAAGCTGGGCGGGCCCACCGCTGCCAGACAGCCGACCTGGCTAGTTTCTTACGGCCACAGACCCAGGGCAAAGGCTGCGCGAAGGCGTGCCTCTTGCTTGGGGGCCTGGGCGAGGCAGCACTCACAGGAGTCCAGGGTTTGACAGGCGCAGCAGGGCTGAGCCTTGAGAGGCCTGCGGCCAGGTGACGCCAAGCGCCACAGGACCTAAGGGCTGGCAGCTGAGAGCTGGGCGGGACAGCAGAGCTGGACCCTCCCTCTCCCAGGTCGGATTTTCTCCCTGGTAAATGAGAACAGCAGTATCTGGTAGAGCGGGGGTAACAAACACAAAAGTGATTGGGAAGTCGATGTTTTGTTGTGTGTGCGTGTGTGTTTCAGAATCCAACCCAATTACTGAACTCTCACAGACTTCACAGCAAGTCAACAGCACAGCTGGGCCTGGAATACAGGTCTCAGCTCACTTTTGCACTGTTTTACTTTTGTGAGATTTTCCACCAGAAACGTTCCGTCCAGGCAGGAGGCTCTCAAAGTTCCTCTGGGCCATACAGGGCTCCCTGCCCCTTCTCCCCACAACCCCCTCCATGGAGACATAAGAGTCTCAGGGTGCCCTGCCCAACATGTAGGAAGAGCACTGGGGAAGGATGAGACTTCATAGTGATTAGAAACAAGGGCTCAGAGCCCATCTCTGAGCTGTGAAAAATGGGGACGTTCATTCATGTCAGACCTGCCAGGTCTACCAAAGGGTCCAGAGAAGCAGCAAAAATGTCTCTGCATGACATCAACACCTCCCCTATGTACTGTTGCTCATGACAACCAGCCCAAAAGGTCTTGCCTGTCTTGCACTCTTTGAGATTAGCCTTAATCATAAACTGAAAAACATGTTTGGAGTTCCTAGTGCCATGGGTCAGGTTCACAGAGTAAAATTTTATATACAGGAAGACAATCCAAACAGCATTCCCAGAATCTTGGGAAAGCAAGATTTTCCAATCACAAAATGTTAAGATTTGGTTTCCCGTAATTTTTGTAGCCAACTCTGCCTGAAACACACTGGCCAACGGTTGCACAGGCATCTCAGAGATCTTGCCTTTCTTGGAATTGTGGTTGGAGATTGTTGCTTTTAATATGGGAGGAAAAGAGAAGAAAGAGTAGCTCACCAACCCTCCCAGCTGGCGACCAGGTACTACACACACACACACACACAGACAATAAACAGACACACACACACACACACAGAGAGAGAGAGAGAGAGAGAGAGAGAGAGAGAGAGAGAGAGAGCGCAAGCTAGCTTCTGGCTTCTGAAGAGCATGTGCTGGTTCTTATCAACAGGCCACGTATCCCTACTCAATTTACCCCTTAAAAAGCAAGAAGAGGCTGGAGGATGGTTCAGCAGTTAAGAAGGCTTACTACTCTTGCAAAGAACCTGGGTTCCATTCCTAGCATCCACATCAACTGGCTCACAACCACCTTTAACTACAGTTCCAGAGAACTCTAATGCTCTCTGGCTTGTGGTACACATATACTCATGTAGGCACACACACATGCACATAATTTTTTTTTTTTTTAAGCAAGAAGTCTGGAAGATCTCTGGCTTTGCCGGTTCTGTCCTTTGGTGAGGCCAGGACCTGAGTCCTTTGCTCACTCTCCCACACTACACATACATACATACCCCACACAGCACTGCACGTTTAGTTTAGAATCTGAAAACATTTGCTAAATGAGTCACTTAACCAACTGGAAAAGCAGGCAAAGATCTCCAGATTTCCAAACATAGCAACAGCTCATTCATGTATTCTTTACTGCACACCTACCCTTGGCCAGCCCTCATATCTGAGCTGGAGACCTGAGGGCTTGCCTTTCTCTCTTAGTGATCTCACAGGTCTACCACAGTAGGATAGATGGGATTGAGAGGCCAGATACAAAGTAGCAAGAAGGCCCAGATGCTCAATTCAATAGACTTCTTCAACACTACACATGGCAGGACCTCTCTGGGGGTGTACAAGTCCAGAAGGTTTATGCAATTGTTTCATAGAAAGAATAAAAAAAACTGTTACCAGTTGTTAAGGGAAGGCCTGCACTGTTCACTTTTTTAAAATTATTTTTATTTTATGTGTATGTGTGTATTGCCTGCATGTAGATAAGTGTACCCATGTTGTGCAACGCCCTCAGAGGTCAGAAGAGGCTGTCAGAAGAGACTTTCGGATCCCCTGGGACTGGAGTTATGGACAGTTGTTAGCTGCCATGTGGGTGCTGGGATTCGAACCTGGGTCTTCTGCAAGAACAACCAGTGTTCTTAACCACTTAGCCATCTCTCCAGCCTTTTTGTTTATTAAGATAAGGCCTCCCTGTAGCCACAAGTGGCCCGAACTCCCTATGTAAACCAGGCTGGGAGAGTTCAGGCTAACAGAGATCCACCTGCCTCTGCAGTGGTGTGTGCCACCACACCCAGATAATCAGGATATTTTTTAACCCTTAGCCCTACTTTATATTCCAGTGGTTTTCATCTAGAACCTACAATTTATACAGATGCCTTTATAGCTATGGATTTTGTTTCCTGTGCTAACACTGTTCCATTTTTTTGTCTTTTTGTTGATTATTATTATTATTTTTGACAGGGTCTCCCTAGTCACAGCCCACCTAGAAATCACGATGTGAACCAGGATAGCCTCAATCTTGCAGAGATCCATCTACTAGCCTCTGCCTCCCGAGGGCTGGGATTAAAGACACATGCCACCACGCCTAGCATACACTGTTCCTTCTTAACCACATACAAAATTTCTGCTTATGAGTCATCTAATACCCAGTTCAACTATCTCTTTTCTCCAAAAGCCTTTCTCAAATTCTCTGGCTAGGATTATACCCACCCCTTGCCCCAGCCCTCTCATCTTGAGTCTCTGTCAGCACTCACCACACCATTTTGTACCTGTTTAACAACCTGACAGAGAACTCTGTGAAAACAGAGGCAGACGTTCACCTGTATATCCCCAAGACTAGAAATTCTTGCACAAAGTCAGCATGAGGCGAATGTTTGCTAAAACAGTTT